GGGGCGCCCAGGCCATGGGGAGCCAGCCAAGCTCGGCGGCCAGACCTTCTGAGCTCCCCGGGCGAATCCGCCTCTCGGCTTTCAAAGATGGCATTTCCTGGGCCTGGCATGAACTCCAGCGCCAGTAAACCCTCCCCGCTCCGCAGGCGACGCGGGATGGTTTACCAGGTACCTGCGCGGAGACAGCTGCAGTGGGGGAGTGTATGTGAGCGCGCAGCGCGCCCCCCCCCCTCCCCCCCCCCCCCCCCCCCGGAAATTCCCATTTGCAGCAACCTAAACTTACTGAGAAGTTGCGCTTGCCTTAAAAATTCATGGGAAGTTGAGACAACTTGACACCTGGGCTGTCCGAGGCGGTGCAAAGAGCTTGTGACTTGGACACTGGAGACCTCCGGTCAAGTTGGTCTCCCCCTTGGCCAGCTGGTGACCTTGAGCGAGTTGTCCAACCTCTCTGATCTTCAGTTTCCTCCCCTGCAGACAGCCGGTAATAATGCCCACCTCACTGGGTGGGTGGGTGGATTAAGTGGGATAAATTATGTGGAGGTGTTTGGCACTGTGCCCGGCGCAGAGCAAGTGAGCAGTTGGCGTGATGCGAATTTAATTCGTTTAGAGACCCCCGTGGCTCCCATTTCACCAGGAAATTAGAATCAGGGAAGCATCTTCAGGGCCTGGTGGCAGAGTGACAGACCCCGTCTCTGTGCCCTGGAGAACTTCTGCTGAAGTCAAGGGCTTTGGAAAAACAATTTAGCGAATTGTAATCGGAGAGCATCTTCTTTAAAAGCAGTTTTATACATTCAGGAACTCCAGAAGTTGGCAGTTCGGCTGTACTTACAAAAGAGCTGTTTTGCGAGAGGATCCATTCTGCAAATGCTTAAGCAGATGATGCTTGAAAGTAAAGCCAGGTTAGGAAGATTTCTGTTCTAAAAAGCTTCTAAACTCAGCTTTTGTGATTATTTAGATTAGGGTTTCTTAACCTCATGGCTGGGGTTAGTTAATTCTTTGTTGTGAGGCCTGTTCTATGCATTGTAGGTTATTGAGCCCGCATCTCTCGTCTCTACTCACTAAATTTCAGTAGTAATCCCTCTCCCTCTGTTGTGCCAACCAGAAATGCCACCAGACATGGCCAAATGTCCCCTGGGGGGGCCAAATATCCCCTGGGGGGGGGGGCAAATATCCTGTCTCACTTTTTAGAACCACTCCTGCTTTCTGTCATTAGCCTGTTGAAGTTGTCAGAGCATTTCATCTTATGTTTTTCCTATAATAACTAACCTTTGTATAGGCTTATAGAACTACACAGAATGTATCCACAATCTCAACTCACTTATTTTTTACAACTCCCCCAGGAGGCTGGTGTCATTCCCATTTTACAGGTGAGGAAATTGAGGCGTTGAACAGCGGATTACACATTATATGGTGTAGTTGGGATGTAACTCAGGTTTCCTGATTCCATGGGCAGGTCTTTTTGTTCTGTATCAAGATGCCCTTTATTGTACTGAGATTTTTCAAGTAGATAACTTTGCTGATGATTGCATCAAGATGTGAAGTAGATTGGAAGCTGGAAACCTTTCTGAGGTTGACTAGTTGAACATTAACAGTAGGCTATTATCTGACAGAGAGTAGGTCTTCTAGTTAAATATTCTAGTTTATAGCGAGCTCCCATAAACCCCACGTACAGTTAATGGAATACCAATTTGCAGAGAATTAGAGTAGAATAAAACGTGCCTCGGTACTCTGTATTGATCCTGAGTTGTCTCTGGTGATTTGCCGTCTCTTAAAATGGACTCCTGTATGCAAATTAGACATTAGCTGGGGAATGTAAAAGGTCAAGTTACTGAAGTCATATCTGAGTGGCGGAGGCATTCTGCTCAGCATTTAGTAGTCAAGCTGCTTCTGTTTGGCAGATGCCGTGCCAGGGGTGGGAGATGCAGAGTTGGCCAGTAGACCCCAGTGAATCCAGGGTGACAAGGTGGGACTTCCTTTTCAAGGAGAGGCCAGGTCAGATACCTAGCAGGCCCATAGGAACAGGTTGGGGCAGGAGAAAGAGCCTACGTTAACACAGGGTCAAATGCAGGGTCCCACTCTGCTTCACCGCTCCTGTCTCTGAGCCCTCCGTTCTGCATTTTATCACAGGGAGGTGTCCTGGTAGCTTTTCACTTTCTCACTCAAGTGTCAGGACCCAGGTTAGAGACGCATCTTATTCCTCACAGGAGTTGGGGTTCCCAGCTGGTCATTGGTCTCAGCCAATTGATTGTGGACTGTGATCGGGGAGATTTCACATACATTGTTTAATTTCAGTCCTCCCGGTCCCTGTTTTGCAGATAAGGAACCTGTGTTAGCAAAGGTAGTGTGCGTCTAGGAGCAAGAAGGACGAATTTTGACGTTTTGAACCTTGGGTTCAGGCCCATGAAGGATTCCGTTTTCTAAGATGAACAACCCACCAGAGGGGCTCAGCTGCAGGGATTGGAGGGAACAGGAAGACATGGCACCCCACCTCCCACCCCAGCCCCAGGGTTTGTGGCACGTTGGGAGGGAACCAGCAATGTGTGGAGAGTGCCTATTGACCATAATCCCAGTGCTCACCTTCCTTCCGCCAGACAGTGGTTCCTGGACAGCAGGGCCAGTCCCTCTTCACCTCTTCCCAGGGTCTGTTGCAGGGGCTAGAACGCCCAGGGAGCTCCATGCTTGCCATGGCGTTGATGGGCTGGTGGGGGCTGGGCAGCCTGCGGGTGTTCTTCCCAAGCCTCAGCTCTTCTTACCAACTCTATTAGAGACAGGACAGGACAGGACCTCGTCAGTGTCCACCCTGCTCTGGTTTGGGTCCCCGGCATCCGCAGCCTCCTTTCTCACAGGTGTCTCCTTTCATCTGCCTCAGGGGGCACTAATGGGAGTGCTTGGTAGGCGCCTGGCTGAAATCTGACCTGGTGATGGGTTCCCAACCTAGAGATTTGCATCACACAGCGTCCAGTTGTGCCTCCAGTGAAGACCAGCTGTGAGCACAGATTTAACAGCAAATTCAGACATTTATTGAGTCTACTAGAGGCCCGATGCATGAAATTCGTGTAAGGGGCTCAGCCCCTGCCACGGTGGTGGCTAGCTACCTCAGACCCCGCCACCACAACGGCTGCCTCGCCCCTTGAAGCCCCGGCTTCGTCTGGAAGGTCATCCAGAAGGACGTCCAGTCTAATTAGCATATTATGCTTTTATTATTATTGATAGTATATGTCAGGCAATAGGGTTACAGAGATGAAACTTGAACCCCTGTTTTGGAAGGACTCATGGCGGAGTTGGGAAGACTGACCTGTGTGTTATCTGTCTGTCTATCTATCTATCTATCTATCTATCTGATAACTACTTTACAAGAGGGTAAATCAAATGCAAAGAGACCAGTGGAGGCGGCCACTCATTCTTGATGGGCATCAGGGAACATCATGGGGAGTCGCTGGCATTTGAATTCAGCCTTGAAGGTAGGAAAAGATGGTACTTGGGGCAGACAGAACAGCAGATGTAAAGACTCAGAGGCATGAAGAGAACTTGTGTGTCTCAGGAGTGGTGACTCTTCCCCTCTGAGCGTACTTAATGCAGGACCCACCTCCTGCAGTTAGGGTACTCTCCCATCCCCCTGTACGGGCCTGGCTTCACTCCACCCAGGGCTCAGTGCCCATTCCCCTTCTTTTCCTGGGAGAGGAGCGGTGCCTCTGGCTTGACTTCAAGGTATGAGCACCTTCTGCCTGGGATGCCTCTGGGTTTAGTTATTCAATCCTGATAGAGCGTTTACTGGCTGCAGGCACTGCTCCTGAGGCTTTCCAAATATTAAGTCATTCATTTAATCCTTGTAGCAACTCTCCGACCACCGGACTGCCTCCGTGAGTAGCAGCCGCTTGGTAGGTAGGTCAGGGCAGAGCTCCTCTCCCCAGCCTGGGCCCCTCTGTGGGTGCTGCTCCGATTGTGGTACACCTTCTCCTGGCTCACTTCATTGTTGTGCCAGAAAACAGCCGAGTCTGAGACTTGAGAGCGAGTGCTGACGGCCGCAGATTTTTATCCCTGACCCCGTGTCCTTCAGGGGACCAGCAGGGCTCCCTGACTACATTTTCTGAACTAAGATTGGGAACTGTAGTCTGAAAAAGAATGTTTGTGCGGCTTTTTTGTGAAAGAGGAGGGAGGCCTGGGAGGTGTTGTTTGGATACTGAGAGAGTGGAATTTTTGAGACATTTTGATGGTTTATGTGGAAAGTTAGGACAGAGGATTTGAAATTGGAATAGCCCTGGAAAGTTCAGGTCCTATGATTTACTGTCAGGATACACAAGCTTTTAGTAAATATTTAAGCACTGTGTAGCTTGGAGTGAATTTTTTGTACTGAGCCCATTGGAGCCTCAAAAGTGGGTAAACAGTACCTTCTAGTCCCAGAATCTTGCAGATTCCCATAAGCCCCAGTTTACAGATGGGGTGAGAAAACTGAGGCCCAGAGAGAGGATGTCACTACCCAAAGGGCACATTGCTGGTAAGTAGGACATCCAGATTTGAACCCAAGTCTGTCCCTAGACAAGTCCTTTAACTGTGAAATGAAGATAATAGAACCTATGTCCTTTAAATTGACCATTTTAAAGGAGCTAATGACTGAAAACCTACTGAGGCAGAACTTGGCACAGAAAAGGGTCCCCTCCCTTGTGGTTAGGCCCCTGACTCTTCGGACAAGCACTTTGGTGCTGAGAGTGGCTGTGGGCGAGTCATGGCCCCTCCCAGGGCAGGGCTACCGGTCCTAGCTCTTAGTGCAGAAGGGATGTTCTAAGGGGCAGGATCCAGGCCCAGAAAGGGGCGGTGGCCAGCTGGATGCTGTGTTGATGAAAGGCACTGGTCTGGCTTTGAGAGCAGGATGTGAAGACCTGGCCCCTGTACCCCGCTTCCCTCAGGTGAGTCAGCCTCAGTGTAGACCTGAGGTTTTTAGTAAGAGAGGCAGGAACCAGCTCTGGCCCTAATCACGGGTGGGCTGGGAGAGGGGAGGATGACTGCCTGGACCCAGGCCTTGCCTGCTGTTTCCCCCCGCCCCCTCCCCTCCCCTGACCTGGTGATCAAATTTATACATGGTTGTTGGAGAAAATTAAAAATTAAATGTCAGGGAGCAAAAGGAAAATCGGAGGCTGTGAGAGCCGGGAGCCTTCTCCCCTCCTCAGTTC